ACGAAGACAGTCTTGTAACCCCTTTCTGACGTGTGCACCAATGACACTTGAACCTCCCATTGTGTTCTATCTTATAGAGGTCCAAAGTTCTTCCCAGTGTTGTAATCCTGGAGAATAAGGTTTTCTACGGTGGGGTCCCCTTTTTTTCTCAAAGTCCATTGGCCAACAGTCCAGGAGAACAAAGGGGCAGAAGTGACAACAGACAGATTTGTATGGCTGGCCTGTGAACAAGACAGAAGTAGCCTTTTAGGAGACTGCTTCCGGGAGACAGATCAGCTCTATTCCAGAGTCGGGGGAGATATAAAGGATGGGGACAGAGGCTGGGACATCACCTAATCTGCATTAAACCGCATGTTCCTATCATAAAGGTCCTAATACAAGTCTTAGTTATCATATGGGAATCGTGGTCCTATCGGAACACTCCTAGCACAATGTCTAATTATCATATGGGAAAGCTTCTCCAAGGAATTGTGTCAAGGGTCACCTTAGAGATAAGTCAGGCATCCAGGCCTAGAGACATTCTCCAAATAAGGTCAGATGAAGAGCACAAAACCCTCTTCTGGGAGGAAGTCCTCCATGTTGCTGAGCTTGGAGAGGACTGCCAGGACATGGTAGACTGCAACCTCTGACCAGCAGGGCCTCCCAAACTTCAACAAATGGTTCAAACTTCAGCATCAGGCAAATGAGCTCATCAAAGAGTTCTCCAAGAAAGATATACAAATGGCTAATAGGTACATAAAAAATGCTTCGTGTCCTTCACCATTAGCAAAAAGCAAATTACAGTCATAATGTCTTCTTGCCTACTAAGATGGTTATCATTTTTTTAAAAAAAGGTGAACAAGGACTGGGGAAATTGGAACTTTCATATTTTTCTGGAAACAGCATAAAATGATCTGCCACCATGACAATCATGGATCAAAGCTAAAACACAATGATCATACAAAATTTTCCCTCCTAAGAGTATAAAGAAAACTTAAAATACATTCACATAAAAGCCTGTACAAGAATGTTCATAGCTTCATTAATTATAATACCCAATATATAGAACAACCCAAATGCATAATAACTGATAAATGCATAAGCAAACTGTGGTATGTCTAATACTGTAGAATATTATTTGCCAATAAATAAATTACATGATGTGCTAATACATGCTATAATGTGGATGAACCTTGAAAGCACTGTTCCAAATGAAAGAGGTCAAACAGAGGAGCCAGTGTGTAGACCCAAACACTTCACTCAGCCTTGACAATTCACTAGAATACAGGAGCTAGATTCTATTGCACTCAGGGGCATGACTAATTTTAACTAATGGATGATCAGAAAAGAAGTGGGTAGGGAAAAGACTGAGAGAAACCTCCAGTGTTCTTCACTAGTGGGATGGCTCAATTCTTACTTCACAGTAGCAGTGTGAAACAGTACATGAAGTTCATTGCTAGTCAAAGAATCCAGCACAAGTCTTGATGTATTGGGTTTTCAATGGGAGTTGCTGTGCAGATGCCAAACCCCAGATGTTTACTGTAAGTGCCAATTGTAGCACACATTGTTGCTGGCCACCAGTTCACAAATAATGACACAGAGACTGCCTGTTAATTATAAAAGGTTGGCCTTAGCTTAGGCTTGCCCCACTAGCTCTTATAACTTAAGTTAACCCATTTATATTAATGTACATTTTCCCTCATGGCTTTTTACATTTGTTTCATTCTGTATGTCTAACTTCTCCCATGTCTCATTGGCATCTAGATTCATCTCTTACTTTCTCTCTCTCTCTCTCTCTCTCTCTCTCTCTCTCTCTCTCTCTCTCTCTCTCTCTTTCTCTCTGCCTAGAAGTCCCGCCTAAAGCTCCTGCCTAGCTATTGACCATTCAGTGCTTTATTAAACCAATCACAGTAATATATCTTCACATAGTTTACAAATATTACCCCCCAACATCCCTCCTTTTTCTCTAAATAGAAAGGAAAGGTCTTAACTATAACACAGTAAAACTATATACAATAAGAACAATTATCATGCTGGGCGGTGGTGGCGCACGCCTTTAATCCCAGCACTCGGGAGGCAGAGCCAGGCGGATCTCTGAAAGTTCAAGGCCAGCCTGGGCAACCAAGTGAGTTCCAGGAAAGGCGCAAAGCTACAAAGAGAAACCTTGTCTCGAAAAAAAACCAAAAAAAAAAAAAAAAAGAGCAATTATCAGGTAATAATTACATTTACAGTGTCCAGTCTATCTCTATTTGGCAAATTCAGAGAAAATATTCCATTACCTATCCTATCTTGGTGAGTCAAAAGTTTTGACTTATTTTCTATTATATTACCAACCCAAAACTATCTTTTTAGACCTCAAAATATTTTCTTAGATAAACAACTTAAGCTTTTATGTCTCTCAACCTTAAAAGCTTTACATCTCTTATGTAAGTTTCATTTTTTAATTTGGTAACAAGAAAAACTGTAACTATAACAATCTTGTTTTCAACTCCATCAAAGACCTGAGAAGGATATAATATTACCTTAGTAAACAGGAAGTGCAGAGCAATCAACTTCTAAAACTTTATAAATGAGAGAGACATCTGGCTGCATGGACAGTCATCCCAAAGTTCCTCTGCAGGGTTGGGGCCTCTGTATGTCTTTGTCCTACAGGCCCAGAATATCTGATAGACTTTTCTGTGAAGCAAGAATTTTGAAGGACTGTCCTACCTTGCCTTGGCAAAGTTCAGCAGTCACTTTCTATTGTGTCCTGCTTGTTAAATTTGGCCAAAATACTGTCAGCTTCAAGGCAAGGGCAATTTCTTGCCTAGTGTCTAATTTTTGCCATAAAGAAAGAAAACTCCACATGGAAGTTCTTTGATGCCTGTCATTCTCTTTTGAAGTAAATTGGTGCTGCCAGGAGCAGATGTGTCTCACTGTCATGAAAAGCCTTATGTTATTAACAAATTTTAAATGCTATATTCTGGAGGTCTCTGAAGTGTTTTAAGACCATCTATCTATCTAAAATATATCTCTATGTGATCTTGAAAACATACCTAACATGGCCACAAATCTGATTGTTATAGGTGACTAACTGCTAACCCACATTTCTTAATATCTTAAGACAATTTATAATAATGGCCTTTCAAGGACTATAAATTTATATTTCATTGATAATTCAGCTGCAATAGGTACAATACCTTAAACAAGGATATATATATATATATATATATATATATATATAGTAACAAAATAACCTTAAATTTATATCAACATACAAAAATCCATACCAATGTAAAATATTTAAGATGAGTGGTTGTTCAAAATAGATTCAAACTTTTATCCCATCATTTCTATACTATAACACCACCCCCCCTTTTCCCTTCAAAAAGAGATCCCTGATTCTAATCTCCTTTGTTCAGCTTTGGTCAATAACAACTTGTAATCAACCCTCCTAAACAATGACAAACATCCATAACCCTCCAACGATCAAAAATCACCTATCCTACTGCCATGGGATATCTCTGCATGCTGTGAATATGTGCTGCTCTGGTTGGTTGATGAATAAAGCTGTTTGGCCAATGGTGAGGCAGAATAAGGTTAGGTGGTACATTCCAACTGGAGAGAGAGGCAGAGGAGAAGCTGAGAGTTGCCACCAAAAAGTACCAGTAAGCCACAAAGCCATGTGGCAATGCATGGATTAAAAAAATGGGTTAATTTAAAATATAAGAGCTATCTAAGAAGAAGCCTGACCCATAGGCCATACAGTTTGTAAATAATATAAGCCTCTGTGTGTTTACGTAGGACAAAGCAGCTGCAGGACGTGGGAGGAAGAGATTCTTCCCAACGGCAGGGCCGGTCAGGACTGGAGAAACCTTCTGGCTACACCCTACCACTTGAGAATGTGGGCATCATGTTCTCTAGACCGCTTCCTGTTGTCTGGGGTTGACCACATCTTTAGAAGACCCCGAGAAAACTGAGATAATGGTCAAGTACTAGGAAAACTGGCCATAACATTGGTTCTTCAATCTGTGTATAATGGGAAAGTACGGGGCTTATCTTAAGTCCTAGATGGAATAGTGTATGAGACTGGACCATCTCAGCTAGCAGCCTTGAAGTTGTTTTGGATGCAAAATTTTGAGAAAACTGCATTAGAGGCATTCTAAGAGTCTGATCATCTGTGCTACTTTTTTTCATTGGTGACTGTTGCTTGAATTGCTAAATGGTCTCATAATTTAAAAAACCCAAGTCAGATATTGGGGTAAATGCTGAAAGATCAGAGAGACAAGGGAACAAGTCACTGAAATGTCTCACCTTGCTGACTCCATGAATCCTCTAACTGAAAGTCTCTGAGTTCTCAGTCAAAAGGGGCTTCCTCAGCTGAAAGCACCTCCATCCAAAGGCCTTAGTTCCTGTCTCCTCACACCTCATATACCTTTCTCTGCTCAGCTATTTCACTTCCTTCCTAGTGCTGGGATTAAAGGTGTGTGACTTCCCAAGCAAAGGCATGAGATCTCAAGTGCTGGGATTAGAGGCACGTGATTCCTAAGTACTGGGATTAAAGGAGTGTCTCACCACTGCCTGGCTCTGTTTCTCTCCTAGACTGAATCAATCTCATGTAGCTTTGAACTCACAGAGATCCAGAAGGATCTCTGTCTCCTAAGTGCTAGGATTAAAGGTGTGTGCCACCACTGCCTGGCATCTGTTTAATCTAGTGGATTGTTCTGTTCTCTGATCTTCAGGCAAATTTTATTAGGATGCACAATATATCACCACAGGTGTCTGGTCCTTTTTTTTCTGAAAACACACAAACTTTTTAAGGTAGCATATATATCTGCACTAACACATGTATGGAATGTGTGGTGTGCACAGTCAGATAAAGACAATTTTTTTTTGTTCTATGTTTTAGCAGGTACTTTATAAGTCAGTTTGGACTATATAACCAAACTATAATATAAATCTTTATCCATACCATAAGAAAGGATGGCATGTAATAATAAGTCATGAGGACTCTGTAGCCAACAAAATTTATCATGTCTCACCAAGTCTCAGAACTGTTCCCATTTTGAGGGATCAGCTTGTACATCACCTGTCTTGTAGTCTTTCTTGGCTTTTCCCCTCATGTCTATATCCAAGATCCTCAGGAGGTCTCCCATGGTCAAATCTGACATCTTGATCAACTTTGAAGGAATCTACAGCATTTTGTTTTCTGTGGAAACTAAAACATAACCTGTAGTTGGTTTTTTTACTCTTTACTCTTTGGGAGCCCACCACCCAGCTCCCAAATAAATACATAGAGACTTATTTTTGCTTTTGAATGCCTGGACTTAGCCTGGCTTCTTAGTAGCCAGCTTTTAACTTAAATTATTCCATCTACCTTTTGCCTCTGGGCTTTACCTTTCTCTATTCTATATACCTTTCTTTACTTCTCACCTCATTGGTGGCTGTGTGGCTGGTCCTGGGCATCCTCCTGTCCTCCTTTTCTCACTCCCCTCTCTTCCTCCTAATTATTCTTTCTGCCTGCCAGCCCCTCCTATTTCTCTCTCCACCAAGCTATTCAACTCTTTATTAGACCAATCGGGTGTTTTAGACAGGCAAAATAACACAGCTTTACAAAATTAAACAAATGCAACATCAAATAATGCAACACATCTTTGCATCATTAAATAAATATTCCACAGCATAAATGAATGTAACATAAGTTATATTGTGCAACAATAACCTCTCCTCCAATGCAACCCACTGTCTGACTTTCATTTTGAAGCCAAGATATCCGTAAAGTGTGTAGGCTGGTTTAATTTAGCAGTCTCTTCCATATTCCAGCAATTCAGTGCCTTTCAGCAGCTTCCATTCTCTCTTTATTAGCATTCAAAAAATTCAAAAGTAACAAAGCACCATATAAGGTCTAAACTCCCTTTGTTATAATATTTTCCATCCTTATGTGGCTTATTTTTTATTCTTTACTCTCTTTTTAAATACTTTATTATTTTCAATTTTTTTCTATGACTGTCTATATCCATTTTCTTTTCTTTCTTTAGCATCTAAGCACATTTTTAACCATCCTCTACCTGTTCAGGCATTTTCTCAGTCAGGTCAGGATCTGACATTTTGTGTATCTGAAGCATTTTCTGCTGCTGGATGGCTCTGGTGACTGGCTCTACACACTTCAGTTCAGTGAGAGCATAGTCTTATGGCAGTACCTATGGGAGCCACGTTTACCACCCCAGCTCTGGGAATTTGCTCAGTCTGAGCAGTGGGCATTTTTACCTGGAGTACTGAATGCTCAAGTGCTCTGTTGCACAGCACCTCTTAAAAGAGCTGTGCCTTTGTATGAGGCAAGCAGTGGGCTCTGTGTATATCCTGCACATTGGATGCCATTTTTAGCAAGCTTTGTTGTTGGCTACCAGCTCACAAATAATGACACAGAGACTTTGGCTTGTCCCACTAGCATTTATAACTTAACCCATTTATATTAACTATGTTTTGCCTTGTGGATTTCTATCTTTCTTTCATCTGTATGACCAACTTCCTCTATGTCTCATTGGCATCTGATGGGCACCTAGACTCATCTACTACTACTTTTCTCTCTGCTGAGAAGACCTGCCTATACCTCCTGCCTAGATATTGACTGTTCAGCTCTTTATTAAACCAATCACAGTAATATATCTTCACACAGTGTACAAATATCCCGTAACAGCCAATGTTAGCACACCCTACTACACTGATTTGTAACCCTCAGCTGCACTAATCCTATCAGATTGGTAGGTATTTCAAGAGATCACAGTTCTGATCCAAGGTCTGGGTCAAGAACTCATCCTGAATGAAATCTTTGCCAAGAGCATACAGGTTTTTGGTTCCTAGCATAAGGAATTAACTTTTTCTGGTATTTCCACATATGAAATATATAGAACAAATAAAGCTGTATAAACATAAATCAGACTACTCTTTGCTATAGCCTAGATGAGAAGGGGATGAAAAATCATTTCAAATAAATATGGGATGTTTTTGAACAAACTTTCTTGAATTGATATCAGTGATGGTTGTTCAACAACCTGACATATAAAAAAATTACTAAATCCTTTATCTTAAAATGATTAATTTTATGAAATATATATTTAGAATATACTAAACCATACCCCATAGTTTAAAACCTTGTAATTAGTGTTTGGAAAATTTACCCAGAGTAAATATATAAAGGAGAAATACTTTTTGACACTATTACAATAGCCCATATAATGTGTTAAATGGAGAAAATGTAATAATACAAATATATACTACTCAATTTGAGTAAGGCCTCCATGTAGAAATAAACATTTTTTACTGTGTGGGATGTTCATAGACAAAATGGTGAGAATGATATAGGAGTATGTCATGAAAATCTTTAAATATTTAACTAAGAATTACCAATGAAGTAAATTTCATTACTCTCTTAATACTAAGATACTACACAATTAATAAGTTGCACATTTTAAGGTATAATTAATGACACATGAACACATTTATGGTGAAATAGCAATATAATAAATACCTTGAAATCATGTTGTAATGGTAAGCAATTTTAAGAAAAGTTTCCATTACCAATAATGGTTAGCTGGAAATGCAATCAAATATTTAATATTTTGTAGAAGGATTCAATTATCTATGTATATAGATGCTATTACTTGCACATTCAGAAAAAATCCATTATAATCTATTCTATTCTATAGTAAATAAATATTGTAGAAATAAATATATGTGAATAAAATATTTTAATCTTTAAAAAATAAGTGCAAAGAATTACTATTGGAGAGTTCATGAAACAGCACATTTAGCAACACTTTATAATATTTATCTTCCAGGGTCATAGTTCATTCTCTTATGCTTGAATCTCTTCACTCAGAAATGATATGCAAAAACTTAATAAAATAGTATATGAAATGTGAACTACACATTTGGTAAAGATGTGCAGAATTTCAGGTGTTTAGAAATAAATTATATATTTTTTCACTTTTTCACATTTTACTAAAAATAAATTATTTTCTCATTCAGTATATCCTGATTTCCACCCTCCCTCACTCCTCCCAGTTCCTCCATACTGCCTCTCCCCTATGGATCTACTCCCTTTCTGTGTCTCATTAGAAAAGAACAGACATCTAAGAGATAACAACCAACCATAACAAAATAAAGTATAATAAGATGAAGCAAAAACTATCATATTAAAGTTGGACACTGCAACCCAACAGGAGGAGAAGAGTCCTAAGAGCAGGCACAAGAGTCAGAGACACACTTGTTCTTATGGTCAGGAGTCTCATAAAAATTCTCAGCTAAAAGCTATAATATATAGACAGAAGACCTGCTTCAGACCCATGTAGGCTCTGTTCTTGCTGCTTCAGTCTCTGTGAGTTCATATGGACCTTGCTTGGTTGATTCAGATTCTTGTTCTGCTGGTGTTCTCCATCCCCCTCTGGATTTTATAATCTCTGTGGGATCCCCTGAACTCTGAGAGGAGGGATTTAATGAATACATCCCATTTAGACTCTCTCTCTCTCTCTCTGAGGAATGTTTGGTTGTGGGTCTCTTTATCTATTCCCATCTGCTGCTAGAGAAAACTTCTTTGATGATGACTGGAGAATGCACTGAACTATGACTAAAGTAGAATATCATTAGGGGACATTTCATTGATACTTTTTTGGTGACCATTACTGTTTGGTTTTATCCTAGATATTTGAGCTATCTAATATCTGGTCCTTGGTTACACTAGCAGTATTGGGTATGAGGTCCTTCTCATCGAGTGGGCATTAGGTCAAATCAGACATTAGTTGGCTACTCCCACAAGTTCTGTGACACCATTTCATTCAATTGAATTGTTGACCAAATGGGTCCAATGGAAATCCCCAAACAACTTAGTCTATTGCTAAGACAAATGGTTGCTCTCTGCAAAGTGACAGAGGGGCATCATTGCTGAGGACAATATCCACACAACTCATTAAACATGGGGAAGTCAAGCTAGTGACCTACATGAAGCCTTCACCCCTAAGTTCCAGTATCCTTGGTGCAGGAAGATATGCTATAAGCTACAAAAAGAGAAACATGGATACCAATCCAGTCACAAAACATTTGACTTAAAATCTGTCCTGCCTGCAAATTATCCTTGAGCAGTGGTGGCACAGAAATGATCATATTCTTAAAATTGTTGATGTATTATAAATAAAAGTAAATTTTTTGTGATATTTTACATTAACCCTGAATATTTAGACTCTAGATAATTCTCACCCTGGGAGAATAGAAGTTGGGGAGCAAGTAAGACCAGCTTTCTTAATGACAATACCAGTTGACATGCCAACACTAGTGGGAGAAATCACATCAAGCCCCATCTCTAAATGAAGAGCTACTGATGATTAAAATCTCCTGAGAGAGAGAGAGAATCAGTCTTCACCAGAGATGAGCCCTCTCAATGGTTAGCTGATCCTAAAGTGTCAGTCCCAAAAATATTCATATCAGCAACACTAAATAGACACAGTAGGTTATATTTATATTTTTTATTCATATATATCTTTGTATGTAACAATAAATATTTGAAGAGTAAGAAGATATTGAAAGGCAGAAGGGGGTAAGGGAGGGGTTGGAGGAAGGAGATGGATTGAGAAATAATATAATTATGTTTTAATTAAAAATTTAAAATAAAATAAATTAAAATGTTTCTAAAGATTAAAATAAACAATTTAATTGATGTAGATATACTCTGATGATATTTGAGAGGACACAGAAGAGCTGGTGGCAGAATAGAAAACATCCAGGATGTGAGGTCTAACATGAGGTCATCAAATGAGAATACTAAACACAGCTCTGGGAGAAGATAAATGTCAGAATTAGATGACAACAGACTTGTGAGTTCTTGACTCACTGTTTCCCTCTTTAGAGGGATTACAAACTTGAATTTTTAAATGTGTAGTTGGAGAATGGTATAAGGACTAGATTATAACATATTTGTACACATTCCAACCACTGTGCTTTTCATAGACTAATCGTCTTTATCTTTCTTTTTTATTAAAAAAGATTTATTCATTTTACATACCAACCTCCTTCTACATTCCCCCAGCCTCCTCCACCTCACTCCACCCCCATCCCCTCCTCCAAAAGGGTAAGGCCCCCTATGGGGAGTCAGAAGATCCTGGTACATTGTTGAGGAAGGGCCAACCCCCTCCTCCCTGCATCAAGGCAGAGTAAAGCATCCTACCATAGGGGATGGGCTCCAAAAAGCCAGCTCATGCACCAGGGATAGACCTTGTTCCCACTGCCAGGGGCCACTCAAACAGACCAAGCTACACAACTGTCTCCAGTATGTAGAGGGCCTAGTCCAGTTCCATGTAGGTCCCACAGTTGTCAGTCTAAGTTCATGAGTTCCTATTAGCTTGGTTCAGTTGTCTCTGTAGATGTCCCCATCAGGATCTTGACCCGCCCCCCCACCCCCTTGCTCATATCATCTTCCCTCTCTTCAACTGGACTCATAGAGCTCAGCCTGGTGCTTGGCTGTGGATCTCTCCATCTGCTTCCATCAGTCACTGGATGAAGGCTAGACAAAGTCATAATCATGTCCTCATTTTAATCTGTGTAGTATTCATTTAAAATTTTTTTAATGGATGAGATTATACTCCTTGTTAGTCAAAGACTTAAAATGATGAGCTCTAACTCCATGTCCAGAGATGCTACTGTACAAGCAACACACAGACACAGACACAGACACACGGACACACGGACACAGACACACACACAGACACACACACACACACACACACACACACACACACACACACGCACACACACACACGTGCACACACACAATTACATAACAAACTGAGGTAAAGAATAAGCTCCACCTCACAATGACATCATTCTGTCTCTAAATTGTCTTTAGGGTCTTGTCCTATTGGTTAAATTCAGTTTTTAAAATCACTCCCTTTATTTCATCAACTATGTGAAGAAACTCATTCTGTTGAAATATAGATAACTTAAGAAGTTTCAATTTTTCACTTAAAATTGTAAACAACTCAAACACAATAAATATTGAATTATTTCTCTATTACTCTAGACTTGGTGCATAGATGCCGTGTGCTGTGCTAATGGAGTTCAAAATCATTGTGAACAATTTGCAAGGGGCCAAAGAAGTTTGAATATTCAAGAATTTTTTTCCCCTGAGGAGCCTTTCTCAGTCTTTGAAAATAAACACTTGAGAACAAAAATCAACAAGTTATTAATGTAGCACTATACCTTTATACTCTTCACTAGTAATGCAAAACAATCGACAACACAGAATACAAGGTTAGAAAATGCGTGCTGTTCTGAATCTTTCCCACATAGTCATAATAGACTGGCTGGCCTAATTGATTTTGAGGATTTTACCTGATTTTAGAGGAAGAACCTTATGTGTAGGCATGTTTTTATTTTAAACTCTTTTGTTAAGTATAGGTTTGTTTTTATAGAATAAGTTCCATCAGTAGGTATTGAGGAATAGCTAGTACTTGGTGAATAGCAAAATAAACTACAACCTGGAAAAAATGAAGATATCATCCACAGATTGTATCTCTTTTCTTGGTAATGAGTAGCAGTTAAATATGTTTTTCTCTTAAACTTCTTGTTTTATTTTGACAATTTACCTGTAACAATTGGTGAAATAATAGAAAATGGAGAATTCTAAAGGCAAAATTATCTTAATTCTTTTTACTCTGTTATCAGAGAAACATGACCTGAAGGAAACTGTCTGAAACAGACTTGTACACTAATAATATTTTAGAAAACACTGTGATGTTGAAAGAAAATTTCAAGAGATGAAAATTTAATTCTATTCATAAAGATGAACAGCACTGAGACATTCAGGATGATACCAAACATAAAATATTTTCCTTAGTTGATTTCTTTAAAAACAAATGATTGGTTAGACTGTCAAAATTAAAGACCTCTTGCAAATCTAGGCTAAGATGTTGCATTAGAAGCTGTCTCTATGTAACTCCATGAGCAGGAAGAGCATGGGTATCTGGGTCTGTCCTTTGCTACCCAGACTCTTCTTATTCATAGAGTTATGTATAGACTCACAGACCCATTCTAATAGAAGATAGAAAGAGAGAACACTAGGAGTAAAGGAAATTAGTCAAGGAAGATGTGATAAGATAGCTGAAAACAGAGAGAGATAACAAAACAGCCCAACAGCATTAGCTATCTCTAAGCAGTGGTGGGATACCAAAGCCGCCTCCTCAACGTAAACCAGGCGGCTCCGATAAAAAAATGACTACTAGCCCCAGCCACAGGACAAGCCTGTAGTTCTCACAAGTCTTCAGTCCAGCTATGGTAATTGGTGTGACAATGACTTCTACTGTGTGACAAGTCAGCCCTGGAGAAGACAGACGTTTTAGAGCACCTAATGTCTTGGAGTGCTTTAGCTGCATCCTTTTGATAGGTAACCTATTTTTTTTTTGGTATTTTTATTATTATTATTATTATTTTACAACACCATTCAGTTCAACATAATAGCCACAGAATCCCCTGTTCTCCCCCTCTCGCCCACCCCTCCCCCCAGCCCACCCCCCATTCCCACCTCCTCCAGATCAAGGTCTCCCCCGAGGACCGGGTTTGACCTGGTAGACTCAGTCCAGGCAGGTCCATTCCCCCCTCCCAGACCGAGCCAAGTGTCCCTGCATAAGTCCCAGGATTCAAACAGCCAACTCATGCAACGAGCCCAGGACCTGGCACCAATGCACAGCTGCCTCCCAAACAGATCAAGCCAACTGACTGTCTCACCCGTTCAGGTGGCCTGATCCAGTTGGGGGCCCCTCAGCCTTTGGTTCATAGATCCTGTGCTTCCATTCATTTGGTTATTTGTCCCGGTGCTTTATCCAACCTTGGCTTCAACAATTCTCGCTCATATAAACCCTCTTCTTACTCACTAATTAGACTCCCAGTGCTCCACCAGGGGCCCAGCCGTGGATGTCTGCCTTCAGATTCCTCAGTATTTTTTGAGATTAAGACACTTTGAGGAGCAAAAGACAGGAAACAAAACTAAGTAAGGGGTTCTGGAGGCACCATGCCAGAACATTTTAATGGGAGGTGGCTTTCCAGGCAGTCATGGAGAAGGGTAGGGCTAGACACAGGCACTTGAAAGTTTTTGATGTTAGGGAAGTGAGAGAGTGAAGGAAGCAGTGGGTGGTGACTCCACATTCTGTATTGGGGGCCAAATCCCGTCACCTGGCAGAGAACAATAGCTTCAAGACCATGCTCAGTGGAAAGCTAGGTTTCCAAGCAGCCACTTTCCCTACCATTCTGATGCTGGTGGAATTCAGAATTCTAAAGCTCATGTTCTATAACCAAAGCAAAGCACTAGGCTCTATAACCCGGCTATCAGTGTTTTGTTCTCTCCATCCTCCAGCACATTTAGGGAATATCTCAAGGTGTGGATATTAGCCAGTCCAGCTAGAAAAAACTGGGGCGGGGGGGGGTGTCTCTGGAGAGCCCACACAGACTGAAAAGATAAATGGTTCTAACAGGAGTACCTGGTTTAAAATGATTGGAAGTTCTTAAAGCAAATGCCGCGGTGACAAAAAACTGACCCTTAACTGTTCAGGATGTGCACTAGCAGCACGTATAGAAGACAAGAGACTACAGCTTCCACTGACCTCTGTCTGGCTCAGTGTGTCTGTGATGGTGTTTCCAGAGGAGATGGCATCTGATGCCCAAGAGAGTAGAAAGATCTACCCCAACAGAAGTAAACACCATTCCAAATGGAAAACAGACTGAGGAAGATGGTTGATTTTATTACCAGAAGCTGAGCCTCTCCTGCCCTTTAGTGTAAGAACTCCAAGCTACAGCCTTGGGACCTCCAGACTTACAGTGGTCCCCTCCCACCCTAGTATTCAAAAGCCATTGGTGCCAGGCTAAGACTCACATTTTCCATGGCTATAATACTTAAATACTTGGACTCAGACACCCCCGGCCTCTGGGTTGGCATATTGGAAAAGCTTGTTATTTTACAGTCTCTGTAATAGGGAGATAAACTCCTAATAAATCACCTCTCTTAGATCCATGTTGCTATCTCTACCTAGGCTTCTGGTTTGTCTTTATACATTGCTAATTGAAACAGGGCTTATTTTGCAGTGATGGGTATATAATTAATTATATATTTTCTACCAATAAATATGTTTTATTTATATAATATATATTATATAACATATCACATTACATAATAATAACTATATAAAATATATTTTATATTAATAACAAATAAACCTACAATTAATATAATTAATAAAACTTGAATTAAATAGTGGTGACATTCATACAACATTCTGTAAGCTCTAAAAGTCTACCAAATTGAAACTTTTTAATGTTGTGAGGAGACAGGAGAGCTTGGAAGTGACTGAAATGGTCCATGAATACACAGTACAAGGGCTACAACAGTCTCAGGGGCATAGGGAGGCAGAATAGTTGGCATAGAAACATTTTTCCAGTGCTATGATGTTTCAGGGCATTAATATAACTAGGATGTGCTCACTGAACACCAAGTGCAGGATGTGCATTTTTTAACATTTTCTGCTTGATATTTAGACTAATCATTCACTGATCAAAATTTAAGGTTCCTAACTAGTACTGATTCTAGCCCTCTTTGGATATTTTTATTCATTAAATTTCACTTATTATTCAATGGATTGGTTATTCAAATCCTTTACATTTCTATCAATTGTGTCATTTCTTTACAACTGTACAAGAATATGTCACCTTGTGTTAGAAATTAGTCCTTCATGTCGTGTGCAGAGCACAAGTATTTCATAGCTGTGTTTATGGAGGATCTTTCTGCCATGAAATGTACATTTTGATATTAAAATGTGTCTGGTAGAAGACATGCCATTTCTTTTATTCGGTTTTTTTCAGATATTTCATTGGAAGGTACTAAATTCTCCTGTTTTCTTATGCTTTCCTTTTGGAATGTACCAATGGATATTTTGTCTTAATTTTTACTTCTTTTGACAGTATTAGACTTTACACTCAGCGTCTTCCATATTTTAGTACCCAGCTCAATTTTTTTGGGGGGTGTGTGTTTGGGACAGGGTTTCGCTGGGTAGCTTTGGTGCCTGTCCTGGATCTTGCTCTGTAGACCAGGCTGGCCTCAAACCCACAGAGATCTGCCTGGCTCTGCCTTACTCATGCTGGGATTAAAGGCATGCACAACTGCTGCCCTACTTCAACTCAGTTTTTAAAAGGGAATATTTCTTATTTTTCAGTTAATCATTATTAAAAACAACGTGTACATATGTCTTCTTATAGAGTCAATGTAAAACACTCTACCTCATTCATTCTGTAAGTTATTTTACTAGAAGATTCCATATCTGCAGTTACATAATCATGACATTTGCAAAAAGAATTCTATCAAATATTTTTCAAATATTAGGTTTATCTTATTTCCTTGCCTTATATTCATAAGAACAGTATCTTGATGTTATAAAATACTCAAACATATTACTTACAATGCAAAATATTCAATGAATATTTTTATGTTTTGACTAAATTAACTGAAGTAGTGAGATTCAAGAAGAGAAACCTAAAACAAAACAAACTATACTTTCAAAGTTATTACACAAATTTATCACAAAATTTTAGGAATTTTTTATCTTGAACTGAGGTATATCATAGATACTTTTTAAAAGTTACATACCTTGGCTGAGTATGGTGTACATACTTTTAATCTCAGCACTCTTCGTAGAAGGATCTTGAGATGTTGAGATATACAGTGATATACTGGAGAGAGAGAGAGAGACAGAGAGAGAGAGAGAGAGAGAGAGAGAGAGAGAGAGAGAGAGAGAGACAGAGAGAGAGAGAGAGAGACAGAGACAGAGAGAGAGAGAGAGAGAGAGAGAACATTTGGGCATACCTTTCCAGGCTGGTCATATTATAGCTGACAAGTTTTATAGATGGTAAAATTGATCATTACTTTTCCCCACCCAGTAATGTGAATACCAACTTCCAGCCCTATGAAAACTAGGTCATAAGAGATAGTGTTTCCATGTTGGTACTAGTTTGATTTTTCCATGTTCTGTGACTCAAGTATATGGTGCTTTCAATAACAGAGTACATTTTTTTTTATTTTAAACAATATATTCTTGTCATCTGAAGAAGAAAATTAATTTTGCAACACAAAGAGAAGGGGAGATAACCCTTAATTAAGTTGCATAAAAGTTCAATATTTGTTACCATAGCCTCATGGGCTAAATTATGTTGTAGCCTTTAAAATTATCTACAGTAAAATGAAGGAGACCAAGTATGGAGACACAGGCCATAAAATCTCAGACAATTCCAATATAAAATTTGAGTTGAATTTATAATGTACTGGAGGCATTTGCTTTCACTTCAGTGAAGTGCAATTTAACTGTGCTAAGTAATTTTAAAATAGTGTTTAACTCATGGAAGTATGATACAAAGGTAAAGAAGGGATTCCATATTAAAACAATGGTTGTAGCATGGGATAGTCACTGTCATACTCTAAAGAAGCTGTTGTATGATTACTTGCTCTACTGGTCTGAGAAAAACTTAATTCTCCAGTACAATAACATAATCTCTTTTTTTTTTTTTTTTTTTTTTGGTTTTTCGAGACAGGGTTTCTCTGTGTAGCTTTGCGCCTTTCCTGGAGCTCACTTGGTAGCCCAGGCTGGCCTCGAACTCACAGAGATCCGCCTGGCTCTGCCTCCCGAGTGCTGGGATTAAAGGCGTGCGCCACCAACGCCCGGCAACATAATCTCTTTTAATTATCTCTTTTTAGAGATGGTTTAACATAACTGCATTTCTAATCCAACTATTGACCCTAATCAAACTTAGTGAAGTACAAAGACTATTATGAAATAGTACATAGTAGAAAGCCAGCAAAACAGACATAATTCTTATTTTGTTATATAAATCACTTCCATACACTCAGAAGACACTTTGCCAAGTTTCTACTGTATTTCTACAAAATGTAATAAAACATGGAAGGCATAAAGCTGAGTATCTTGACTAATGAGGGAAGGTGGAATGATGTATGTATTCCATGAGAGAAGCAGATGACAAAGAGAAGCTAGGACAGAATTATGTTCACTACAGCAACACTAATGGGGAAAAGAGGAAAAGAGATCCCAATAATCCAGTACACAAGAACAACACCTACCAAATTCTCAGAAAGTATCAACCCATGCTACCTTAAATGGAAATGGCTTCAACTCACCACTAAAAGAAGCAGAATTACAAACTAAACTAAGAAACAAGAACTTTTGGTCGTCTCTAAGAAACACTGAGCAAAGACATCTGAAAATTGAATCTCAAATGACATGGTGGCTAAGAGCACTTGTTTCTTCTGCGAGGGGACCTGGGTTTGAGTCTCAGCACCCACACAGTACCTCGCAACCACTTGTCACTTGAGTTTCAGGGGATCCAATGCTCTCTTCATACACACGGTGCATACAGTTAGGCCAAGCACTCTTACATAAAATAAAATGAATAAACCTAATAAAAATTTTTTGTTTGTCTTGAAAACTCTATTTTCGCACTAATTGTAGATGTATCCAACCGTCTTATTAAATAAGAAACACAGAAACAATGTAAAAGAGAAAGCCGAGAAGTCAGAGCTCAGAGCTAAAATCTCACCCTTCCTCCTGCTGTCCCAGCTTCGCGAAAAGAGACCTACTTCCTGTCGGTTCGTTTTTTTTAAAGTATGTTGTTCTGCCTTCTCATTGGTTGTAAACCCAAACACATGACTGCCTCGTCACTGTCTGAATGTACAGCCCCCTAGGTCTTAAAGGCATATGTCTCCAATGCTGGCTGTATCCCTGAACACACAGAGATCTTATGGGATTAAAGGCGTGTGCCACCACCGCCACACTCTTGCTATGGCTCTAATAGCTCTGACTCCCAGACAACTTTATTTATTAACATACAATCAAAATAATAATTCAGTACAATTAGATTATCACCACAACTAATATTGAAAAATACACTTTGTTGGGTGTATCATTTTTGATTCAGAGTTATCTGCTTCCAAAGCTTGAAATATGTCACCCCATTTCTCCACAAATTTTCATCTGATTTCCACATACAGGCCACGGCATGTTCAAACCCACAACCATACATATACTAATAAATAAGGAAGTAAATACATACATAGAACAACAAATATATAAAGGAAAAACTAGAAAAGGAAGAAATA